TGGGGCTGCCACCACTAATCCTCACTACCCAAGCCAAGATAGAAGTTTACCTCCGAATGGAAACGTCCGATCAGTTTCACTGTTATATGGGGCACGTCCGAAAACCGATGCCATTTGAGGGACATGCTGCCCAATGTCGGTGCAAGACAATCCACCCGATATCTATCCATCCATCATGTTAGAGATAAAACAAACCCCAAACACCGATCCTGTTCAGCTGCTCAGCCTGGTGTCATAAAAGGAAGTCAGAAACAAGTTGAGCAAGAGAGAAGGCAGAGGGGAGGAGAGAAGGAAGAGCTGCTTCTTCTGAGCTTCCTCAAAGAACAGATTAACCCTTCAGGCACTGGAGGTGTCAGAGCTGAAGCTCCCTTGGGATACCCAAGGGACCCAAGAGACTTGGGGGACACTTGGGAAACAACACATGGAGGCGCCGAAGATATTTTTTCTCTGATCTCTTTCCTAATTGGCATTTTCAAGTATTGAATGCTAAAGCAGAAGAGGCTGTGATGGTTCATGCTTGCCTTCCTGGTGAGAGATTCATTTATATGACTTAAACATCTGTGTTTTTAAGGCGGCAGAAGTACTAGCAGAGTTAGAAACTTCCTGTTTTGCTTCCTCTTTCAATATTTTTTTTCTATCTATTTTAGACAAATATGGGAAAAAAAGAGAAGGCGAGGAAAGTTAAATACCCTCCACACATCTAAGAAAAACCTGTATGCAACAATTTAAGGTGAAAAATCTCCTTTGCAGGTGAGAAAGGTAAACTCCATCCTAATCCCGAAACACTGAGAATGGAAAACCTTTGGATCTACAGCAGAATCCAGAAATAGGGAAGAGAGAGGTGCCAGTCAAAAATAGAAGTTGGCAGACAAAGTTTTCCTGAAGCCAAGATTGGGACAAAGCAGGTTTTCTGAGACATAGCTAGGTTTGTCATTCCAGTGCTCTTCCCTTGGAGATACACTGACATTGCAATCTTCAGCCAATCTATCTTTATTACGGTCAATGGCCCTTGCCAAAGGGGCACAATCTCAGCTCATACGGTATTTTTTGTATCAACCTTTTGCAATTTTCAAAATCCTGGGTTAACCTTCTGGGATTTGAGCCTCAGCACATATGGACACATCAGTATGTGGATCATCATCTTGAGGGCACTGCTGCCCAATGGCTAAAATCATCCCAAGGATATTGCTGCCCAATGGCTAAGCGATCTACATATCTGGTCATAGCTTAGCCACTTCAGTAACTGCTCATACGTAATTTAATCTTATTCATCATTTTATTCATCACTTGTATTGTACGTCTTTAAAATAATTCACTGTACTGGCGTTTTATATTTTGATACACATTTTATATGCTGATTTTGTGAATTCTATGCACTAGTACTGTATTCTGTAATGCCATATGAAATAAATAAAAAGTATGTAGATGTCTATATGTGTCTATATCAGGGGCATCGAACTCAATGCCTGTGGGTCGAATCCAACCCTTACGGTGCTTAGATCTGGCCCGCACGGCCGACCTGAAAATCATGAAAGACCAGCCAGTAGTGCCTGGCCAGCCAAAGGGCTCCTGAGCTCCATTTTCACTGGCAAAGGGTTGCAGGAGGCCATCACAGCCAAAAATAGAATTCAGGAGCCCATTTTTGTTGGCAGAGTGCTCGGGCTGCCTCAGGTGCCCCCAACACGAGTGATGTTGAGCTGACCACACCCATCCCAGCCCCCCAAGGTCAAACAGAACCCTGATGCGGTCCCAATGAAATTGAATTTGACACCTCTGGTCTATATTATACTATACTGTGTCGTATATTATGGGGCCCAAGACAATTCCTCTTCAATGCGGAAGCCAAAAGGTTGGATAACAATAGTCTACATATTTCTCTTCATTCTTTAAGTGGTTGAAAAGTCGTGCCATCAGAGACTGAAAGGAGACTGTACGTCTAAAAGACCGTGTCCTGAAGATTATTTGTTCTGGTTTATTGAATGTTCTCTCCAAAATAATAATGCACCCAAATCAAGTAAAATGGGGAGCTGCATAGGATAGGATGCTTTGAAATGGAGACAATTGTTGTTCAGGCTATTTGATCTATCCACAGACAGAGGAACTTCAAAACACTCATAAAATTTAAAAGGGTGCCCACAAGCGGTGAGTTTCCCTTGCACAATTGTCAAGCGGTGTTGTAACCATTCCAAAAAAAAAGGATGCTACGTCAAAACAGATTTCTTCAAAACTGGTGTTCCACAATGACATACAAGTCCATCAAATAAACTATCCGATTTTATTAAGAATTTGACAGACTGGGTTTTTATTGGGAGCTGCCCAGGGTTTGTTGGAAGGATGGGTGGCTATATAAATACCTGAAATAAATAAAAAAAGAAACAAATAAAATAAACTTTCCCCTTAAGAATTTGCCTTCCTTTTTAGAAATGAGAGATGAAGAGTAGCTCCAGTTTTTGAATATTAAGGAAAAGCAGGAGATTTCTGGCTAACATGCAAAAGTCAGAACTGAATGAAGCTCCTTTGCATTTTAATCTGAGTATCCAAAGAGTTCTTTGGCCGATTTTGTTTTTAAATATAAAGATGGCCTCTATAATGATGAATGAAAGATCACAATAAAAGTATGCTACTTTTCCAGAAGCTTTTTTTCTAATAAGTTGCAATGCTGTTTATAATCACTGCAAGGAGAAGAAACATCTTTTCATAAACAAGATTCCAATTCTAGCTGTGCAATCATAGTGAATAGGAAACATTTACCTCTACCAAAGAAGAAGTACTGGAATATTGCAATGGTCTGGTTTTTTAAACTTCTAAAGCATTCTTGCCAAACAGAATTTTCCTCCCACCATTTCTCAGAAGAACAAGCTACTTTCAGCTCACTCGTGACACTTCATGTTCTGAACAGGTACAAAACACACAAAATGAAGTCAAAGGATCTACAGAAAATCCTTTTTTCCATTGATCTTCACTAAAGCACTGTGTTGGCTGTAACTTGGCTAGGTCAAGACACCTGCCTCCTCATACAATTTATAATACAGTGAGGGTTGCACACTGGACGCCCTGATTTGATGTGTGCAATTTACACAATCCTTATCAGTCCCCTGGTGATCTAATGACCTCATTTTGCAAATGTTGCAAATTGACCCAACTCATGATACAAAGGATGAGGGAGTCCAAATGCCAGCAGTCACCCTCCAAACCCCCAAATGACCACTTAAACCAGGGGTGGGCTTCAAAATTTTTAGAAAGGGGCTCTCTTATCTGGTTGCTGGGTGGGCGTGGCCATGGTGGGTGGGGAGGGGCGTTTTTGCCCTCCCCGGGCTCTGGAGGCCTTCCTTGAGCTTCTGGGAGGGCTAAAACGGCCTTCCCAGGCTCTGGAGGCTCTTTGAAAGCCGGAAATGGGGTCATTTCTGGCCTTCCTGAACTTCCGGGAGGCCTGTTTTTTGCCCTCCCTGAGTCTCCGCACATGCCTTGCACTTACCTTCATCCAAAACGGGCCCTGTGGGGACTCCTGGGTGGGGAGGGGAGGGATGGGCGGGACGGGGCCAGCCAGGAGTGGGATTTGGGGGTCCTCCCAAAACTGCACAGAATCTTAGCTGGAGCCTCTCCTGCACCCCTGCGAACCCCCAGCAGCTCAACCCTGACTTAAACCGAAGAAACTTGCAGTAAGCACCAACAGTGTTATATGCAGAAGAACTGTAGACTCTCCCCAGAAAGAGGATATTGCATGCTGAACTTTTGGGATAACATAGGTCTTTTGTCCCTGGTTTCTGCTGCTAGATTTCAGATTTTGGTTTTTTAAAAAAGCAAAACTGTTCCCCCAAATTTGCCCATTCTGATATCATCTCAAAAAAGTTGATTTCAAAGTAGGACAGATCCAGAGTTGAAGTCTCAGTTTAAACATTACTGCTAGTCAAGATAAACAGTAATAGACCATACTGATAAGATTGGGTTCAGATAAGAGGCTAAATCATAGCACTATTTGTTTGTTGTTAGAGTCATATGTTAACACAGCCAACAGCAGTTTGCTTAATAAATCATGTTTATATAAACCAAGGCTCAGAGAAACCAATCTATTACTTTAGGAATTGCTTATGTGCATCTTTGAGCCGCCAGTAGAATCCATGTTTGCATTAGATCTTACAGGATGTTCTGAACTTGATGTAAAAAAAGACCAGATGCATATGTGTATATTGTGTATGTTGTTCCAGGACACCACAATATTAGTGTTAGCAAGTGACTGTCACCAACCTTATGGTGGACTCTAAATCTCATTCTGGAAGAATTTCAAAATGTTAATAGCCTAGAAAGTTGTCCCTGGGTAAGGACCAAGAACCTTAACGGGTTTTTTTAATAATGAACTTGGTTGAATGTTGAGATTTTCTAGGTCTTTTTATTTCATTAGCTAATACCCAATTTGAAATAATTTGCAGGAAATGAAGGTCAGACTGTAGAACAAGAGATTCATTTAGGTTTCCATTTTATGTGTTTCTAATATAAGACAACAATCTTGTTTAAACCAGGTTGGCTTCTTTATTAGCAAAGCACAGACATGTTGCTTTCATTGAACAAAGTTGTATGTAGGTAAATGTTTTTATATCCCTTTATCTGATTCTTAAAAATTGTTTGTATATGCGTATGTTTTCTGGATATTTTTGAGGGGTAGCTTAGGGAGAACTAGAGTTAATGAATAGAAGGTTTGAAAAAATAATCCAATTTCCTTCAAAATTGTCTGAAAAAAGAGAGGGAGGAGCAAGGGTAGCCCAAATCTTTACCACATTCCTTATTTCTCAGTCATGTTGTCATTAGCATGGCTGCAGTTGGAAGGAAAACGTTCCTAGTTATTTTTACGTGAGAATCTCTTCCTTTCCTGGACAGTCATCTCCTTACCAATGGGTTTAAAGCAGGATGGGTTTGAGAATCACCAAGACAAACATAATGGTCACAATATAATCCCTCATCGTCAAAGCACCAGTCTTGGAAGCATAACCCCTGGGCCTACTTACTTTGCTCTTTTTACTGCTGGACATTTTATTCCTGAGGTAGCTGAATGTACGGCTGACTTTCGTTCCACTTTTGCCTTCCAAATCTTTTCTGGAGGGGCTGGAGGGTGGGAAACTGCCACTCTCCTCACTGATGCTAAAAGCCAAGAGATAAAACATGTCACACAATGCGCAAGAAGGGTGGTCACTGATGCTAAAAGCCAAGACATAAAACATGTCACACAATGAGCAAGAACGGTGGTGCACTCATCCGTTGCAAGTTGGAGACAAAGCATTTTCATTTGAACCTGCCTACAGTGCCTAGGGATGGGGTGGCTCAGTGGCTAAGATGCTGAGCTTGTCAATCAGAAAGACTGGCAGTTCGGCGGTTGGAATCCCTAGCACCGTGTAATGGAGTGAGCTGTTACTTGTCCCAGCTTCTGCCAACCTAGCAGTTCGAAAGCATGTAAAATGCAAGTAGAAAAATAGGGACCACTTTGGTGGGAAGGTAACAGCGTTCCGTGCGCCTTCGGCGTTTAGTCATGCTGGCCACATGATCACGGAGATGTCTTCGGACAGCGCTGGCTCCTGGGCTTTGTAATGGAGATGAGCACCGCCCCCTAGAGCCCGAAATGACTAGCACATATGTGCGAGGGGAACCTTTATCTTTAGGGAGCAGTTAAAGTTACAGAAACAATTTTAAGGAGAAAGGACCAAACTTTGCTTCAAGCCAAATGTTTCCCACCCACCTCCAAAGATAAATTCAGTCTTCATATTCTCAAAAAACCCGCCACTGAATTGAAAATTTGAATGTATCATAGGAAGGAATTACTGCCTGCAGAACAAATGTTCTTAATTTTAAGTATAATTAAGTCATGTCAAAGTCATTTTACCCAATTTTCAGAATATGGTCTCTTACATGCCTCTTAAAGATTGAAACCCAAAACCAGTAAATTTGACAAGCTTTTTGACCACAGTTCAGAGATATGTAGATTTAATTTTTCAATCAGTTGATAACTGGGCCAATTTTTTTTTGTAGTAAAATCAATCTTTTTTTAAAAAAAAAAACCCACCATCACCACCAATAGTCTTTGTTTAAATTCTTGTTGAATTCAAGAAAGGAACAAACTATATTTAGAATACGTTTAAGAGATAAAAAGTTCACCTTTGACTCAAGGAGCTGCTGAAGGATCGAGTGCCTGCGAAAATACACAGAGAAAGAATTACAGTTAAAAATCCTTCAAAATCAAATCATGTATAGTAATACGTGTATATAATTTTATTAAAACATATGTTCTAGTATGACAGTGCCAGATGATGCTTGATTCTGAATCTGCCCAATACATTTTAGCAGGATAATAGTTGACTACGATATCTAGAAGTCCATACTCTTTATCAAGATTATAAATGAGCAATTATGTTGATTTCCTCCTCTCTTTTTAGGAAGATAGTTATTTTGAGAACCAGCTGATGGGACCAGGACCACATCTAAAGTCAATACATCAGAATCTTCTCAAATTAGTGTCCCTGGTCATTTCAGACAATCCATGAAAAAGAACAAGTATGAACATGGTTCAAAATCTAAACAGTTTCCTTCACATTCCCCAGCAAAAATAGATTTGAGAAAGCTGTCAAGTAGGAACAAGCATGCATTACATCCTCTCGCTTGAATTAGTAGCTGGAACATTTATGATAATCGCTGGGGGACAGTCTGCAAGCTGAAGCCAGCAATGCTCAAGACTTGAGTATGGAAGATATCCTTGTCAGTTTTATACCCAGGCAGAAGGGTTGGAGATCACACTAAGGCCTTTGCAAAAGCCAAAAGAAACACGCTTTAAGGAGTTGCCTTGGTTACTTTCTGGTAAGAAATTCAGCCTGAAGGATTCATGTGGCACTTTTAAGCTGTCTGAATCTGAAGAGAAGTTATCACCTGTAGATGTTCAAGCAACACATTGTGATGCACACAGAGACACAATCCACAGGACTATGCCCATCTCTTTGAAATTAATTTATAGTTGTTCCATTTGCTTAAAAGGTTTAGGTTACTGTAGGTAGGTTCATGATGTGCCACATAAATTGAAATTTCGGGCCTTCAAATTATACCATATTGGAACAATTTTCAAATAATCCCCCAATGGCAAATCCTTTGCTACTTTAAATCATTCCAAACTATTAAAGGCAACCTTGACTATTCCTTGACCATAAATGACCATATATTCCTTGCTTTACATTTACAGTAGGGTTTTTTTTTTTTTTAAAAAAAAGTTTCCTCACAATCTGGCATCAAAAAGAAAAGATAACAAGAATACAGGATTTTACCTTGTTGCCATTAGATGAAGGCAATGTTTAAATAGTGATTTAAAAGGATTGCTTTAGAAAAATCTCTCACTGGAAAACAACTAACATGTCCCATAATTTTAGGGACATAATTTGTTCTAACTATTTCAGGTTTTAACCACCTCCAATAATGAGCTTATCTCCTGATTAAAATCTCCTTTTCACATATATTTCCTAAGAAAAGGTACTATCCAACAACATTTTTTTTCCAGGATAAGTTGCAGAAATATTATGTTGACCTTCTAATATTTCTGAATTTACACATTTCATAAAAGTGCTTTCTTTTTTTTTCCTGAACCCCTGTTTATGTAAAATAATCTAAGGGTAACTTAGTCTATAGCAAAATTTAACATTTTTGAACCTAAGCAAGTACGGAGAATCTCAACAACGTGGAGTCCAAGTGGGAGATCCTACATGCAAATAAACAAATAAAATATGATACGTCAAATTTGTGGCCATAACATCGGTTCCTACACATGAAGTCTATAGACCATAACATTCCTTATTGACCCAGGGGCCAAATGAAGAAAAGGAAGCTTAGAAAAACCTTGTAGGCTAAATTCATCAGCAGGAAAGTAAGCTGAAAAGCACTTTGGCTAGAATTTGCAAGCAGCAGTGAAGACAAGTAGAGACAGCAAGCCATTCAGCTAAGACTGAACCACTAGCATTTGCATTCGACGAAGCCATGCAAGAGTCTAAGCTTCTCCACAGAGCACTAAGCAAATGCCAGCATCATTTTGCCCCAACAAGAGTACTTACTCTCCAACTTCTCCTCCTCATCACTGGAAGAAGAGTCAACAGAAAAGACAGTTTTAGACTTAGGAATGAGAGGAGAGATGCTGAAGGAGAAGAAAACTCGTCTAGATGGCTGAATCCGTCCTTGTGCTGAAAAGTGGGTTAATGGCAGAGGTTAGAGCATGGCGTTTCGACACCGACAACAGACAACAACAAAGAAAAAGGAAGAACGGCCACAGAGAGACCAAGAAGAAAGCAAAAGGCATATTACAAAGCAAAGGGCTGCAGCAGCCAAAGCAGAGAAGTGTGTGTGTGTGTTTTTAAAGGGAGGAGAAGAAAAGGGAGGTTTCATTGTATGCAAAAAAAAAAAAAGCTACAGGCAGTCCTCAACTTAGTTAGAGACCATTCAAAGTTACGCCACTGAAAATAAGTGACTTTAGGGCCGTTTTTCACACTTAGGACCGCTGCAGCATTCCCAAGGTCACATGATTTACATTTAGACACTTGGCAACTGGTTCATCTTTATGACGGTTGCAGCATCACAAAGTGATCCTCTTTTACAACCTTCTTTTACAACCTTTTACAACATCGATTTTGGGCTCAGTTGTGGTGCTAAGTCGAGCGCTACTTGTATTGATTTCCGACAGTTTCCCTACAAGGCTTCCATCATTACACTGTAAATTGGAGACGTGTCTCTTTTCAGTAATCTAAGTACTAGCCAAAAAGAACAAACAAACTCCAGCCTCCAACCACCAAAACCCCTTTCACCAGTTTGAGCAGACACTCTAACAAGCTTATGTGTCACTGGAAGAGAGTACACAAGATTGACTTCGTGGGATAGACATCAGAGGTGGTATTCAGCAGGTTTTGCCCAGTTCTGGAGAACCGGTCGTGGAAAATTTGAGTAGTTCGGAGAACCAGCAAATACCACCTCTGACTGGCCCCGCCCCCATCTCTTCTCTGCCTCACACTGAGTCCCAGCTGACTGGCTGGGTCATCTTTTGTTGCCCTGCACAGGAGAACGGAGCTGGAAAGCAGGTTAGCTGGGTAGGAAAGGAATGGGATTTTGCAGTGTCCTTCCCCTGCCACACCCACCAAGCCACACCATGCCCACCAAGCCATGCCCACAGAATCATTAGTAAAAAAAAATTTTGAATCCCACCACTGATAGACATGATGTGTTTATCTCTATGACAAAATGTCTCAATCTGAGCTCCCTTTGAGTGTTCCCTCCTTCCTCAAGAAGCCATTGTTAGACCCAACCGCCCTGGATAGTTTTCACACAGTTTCCAATCTTCCCTCTTTATGGAAAGCTGAGAAGACGGTCAGGTTGCAGTTGGGAGAGGATTCTGGAGGAAGTGGACTATTTGGGCCCTATTCAGTTAGACTGGAAATTGGGACAACTTTGATTGGACTTACTGAAGTCTTACAGAAATGGGGCTTCCTGAATTTCTCAGTGCATTTCTATTCCACTTGACCACGATAAACTTCTGAGTGAGGGTTAAGAATGTAATTGGCTGGCAGTGGTTGCCCTCCTTTCTCTACCATGGTTCCCCCCAAATAAGACCCTGTGTTATATTTTTTTGCCACCAAAAAAGGCACCAGGTCTTATTTTGGGGGGATGCCATCCACTGACAAACTTCACTTGCGTGTGTTGCCCCGGCTTCCTTTTTGCTTTCAGAGGCTTCCAGGAACTTCTTCTTCTGCAGCCAGCAAGGCTTTCCTGAAGGCCTCTGTAGCTGATAACAGAGCCCCAGGTCGGTCTGCATAAGAAATGGGCTGGCAAGGCAGGTGTCGGGGTGTGCGAGGCCTGGCTACAACTGTCCAAAGGTAAGTAATAGGGCAGCTCCACACACACCCCATCCCCACCTAGCTTAATTTTTACCCATGTCCTCTGGAGTGGGCAGGATCTTAATTAGGGCTTATTTTGGGGATAGGTTTATATTGGGTGCAGGTGTAAAAACTAAACTAGGACTTACTTTCAGGGTAGGTTGTATTTTGGGGGAAACAGGGTAGTTCTAGCCAGTATTGGACAGGAGGGATAGATCAGGCCCAAAGACTCTGATCTGTGGGACATCTTCAAGGTTCAACTTTTCTTTCCTCTCCACTGTCTCCCTGGTTTCCTTCTCCTTTTTCAAGCATTCTTTTAAAAGCCGAATTTTCTCAAAGATCTGGGCTTCAGGAGTACATTGAAAGAATTTGAGGGAGCGGGAGAGAGAGATTCCATGATGGATGTTATTTTTTATTCCTGGAGTTGTTTTGCATTTATGGTTTTGTTTTTTTTAATTTTGAAAGTTCCTTGCATCATCTGGAGTGCAATAATCTATAAATTCAGCCATCGCATTATCACGCTCTAACAATTCTTGAAGTGCTGAACTCCCTATAACCTCTTCAAGGTATCTTCCAACTTTTTTTCTTCTGTTGCATATCTTAGAAGCACAATTCAGGTGTGAAAAGCTGTGCTGTCAAGAGCAGTTTGAAATTGCAACACACTCCTAAAAAAATCGGTGTGCCTTATTTCACCTTGATGAAGTAGTCTGTCTTCCTTTTCCTCCCATTTTCTTATTTGCATTGACAAGATAATTAACAAAATAAAATTCCATGTAGAAAAAGTATTTGCCTTAAATCTGATGCAAGCTTTACAAACTTTTTCAATGGCCTGATGAGGTGTGCAACCTTCACTCGATATAGTTAGGGGCAACATATTTAAAGTTTGGAGTAGTTTGAGCAGCTGCAATCCAGAGACCTCACCATTCCCATGGATCTAGTAGCCAAGAAAATATTGTGATTTTGTTCTGTTGTTTAATTCATGTGAATATGTGCAACAGGCATGTCTTATATGCACTGTATCTGGAAGGAACTGACGCGCTAAGATCTGAAAAAGTTCTCTATAGCTTTGGGGGTGAGGACAGGAGGAAGAGTAGAGACAGTTTTTAGCTGGCCAAATATTGTCCATTCCTTGTTGTGCTGTAAGCCTTCCAGTAAGTAGCATGGGTGGGTTTTAGCTTCACAACTATGACCACCAAGAAGATTTGTCCAAGAGACTGATTTGTCAAGATGACTGAACAACATTTATGGGTCCAAAGGGTTTGTATCCGGGAAGATAATACAATTCCATGAAGAACAA